AGCGAGTGACACGAACTAACAAACACTAAAACGACCACTGTAGTTCTGCTATCGTTATAGCCCTTAAAGTCGATGTTACGACACTTTGGATGCTATCAATTTGTCAAAGAAGCGTCCTTTCAATGAAAACTTCAATTTTTGGAATAGAAAATAGTCACAGGGAGACAAATCTGGGGAATAGCGTGGATGGTTGAGAACACGCTTTTGTTTTTTGAGCCAAACATTCCTGCACATTCCCTTTGAGCTGGTGCACCGTCATGAAGAAGGAAAAATATTACCAGGTGTTGAATATAAAACGACAAGAAATTTGTTTCTTACCCAAATCTACCACTGAAATTTTACAAATAGTCTCAGTATTAACACCAAATTCATCTGCCATCATCCTCACAGTCGAACAACGATCTTATTGTATCCGTTTCTCGGAATTTTGCAATGAGTTCCTCATTACTAACAGAAACTGGACCCCTGGTCTAGTTGCACTAGTAAACGTTTCCATACCACTTTTAAATCGTGAATACGAGCTAAAAATCTGTGCACGATATAAACAATTATCCCTATAAACTTGACGCATGAATTCAACTGTCGCTATAGCGCTTTTTCTTAATTGTAAACATAATTTAATATTAGCGTTTTTTGCTCCATGCTGATTTCGTAACAATGCACCTTTAACTAGGTTAACAAAATGGCGGCTTCTTTGTTGTCTGCATAAAGGGCGGCGATGAAAAGTTGCCAGATCATAGACGAAGGTTGCCTCTTTGGATTCCATGCTTTGATTCATAGATGGCATTTTTGTCTTGGCCATACAAAAATCAGTCTCATTACCTCATTGTCGGACCTTGTATATCGCATAATACTACATGGGTATCTCTTGTACATACCATAATTATCAACACGGCTTCATTCTTTATGCGTTCAAGTTTCATCAACCGACTCTTTGATATGGTAAACATTCCAAGTCCATAATCTATCACCGACAGGATCACATGATATAACATTGTAAACAACATTCTTTGCTCCTTGTCAATTGCTGACATAATCCTTAGAGCATCAGGTCTTTTTGGGCATTTCCGGCAACATCCAACATCTAATGCCCCCGCCTCCCTTTCTCTTTCTTCCATTGTAACTTTTCTGATGTCATAACATTTACCACAATATTTTGTAGTTAAAAAGGTACTGACACGGAGAAACTGAATTATCGGCCCAAGAATGCTGCATTATTCTTAACAAAAACACAGATTTGCCCACCGCGTCCTTCAGAGTAAAGTTTCGGTTGAAGTTGCTGGGTTTCAGGACCCCATTGAAGAGAGAGAGGAAGAGAGAGAGAGAGAGAGAGAGAGAGAGAGAGAGAGAGAGAGAGAGAGAGAGAGAGAGAGAGAGAGAGAGAGAGAGAGAAAGACCCATGCCTCCATAACAAGCATGTCGTAAGAGTCGACCAATTACGTATGTTTATTCTAAGCGAAAGTGCTTCTGCCTGAGAGGCCAAGAACCAAGAGTCTGCATACAAATAAGCCAGCCTTGTAAAACGGATGTGTACAGAAAACTCAAGGTCTGGAATGAGACTCTTCAGAAGTGGATGAACAACCAGAACTTTCCCTGTAGTTTACGGCCGCTGAATGTGAAGGAAAAAAAAAAGCAGACGGCCAACGTCCATTAGCTTTCGGCTGTCAATACTAAATCGCATAAAGGATAGTGTTTTCTATCAGCATATATTTTAATTCAGGTAACACCATAAAGGAATACACCTTTCAGATCTGAAAACATGAATGTGTGCGCATATAGTTATGTAGTTTGAGCTTAGTGGCACTGCAGGAACAGGTGCTAGAAGAAAGCATAGCCAACCATTTATTCTGGAAATAAAAAACTTGATTAGACGAGGCTTTCACAACAGGACAGCTAATGGACACGAAAGTGGGAAGCTCACTTGTAATGATTTAGATTACGCATGACGTCCCGTCAAAGTGCTAGCGACTGAGAGTCGGGATAAATAATATTGTTTGCAAAAATCTGTATTAAAACAAAGAAAAGAAATGAATTATAGATTTTATTTTAGGTCTTTTTATAACATTTGGAAGGAACATAATCTTCTCATTGTTTTAGGCTGTGACGTTGAACCTCCCGAATCAACATGGAGTTAGATATAACTAGATATCAGCTTTCCAAACGGTCAAGGACAGGGCACACAATCAATAATATATACTGGCCTAACGAACTCAAAAAATATGAAAATTCTCGCAAAAATAGGGCTATAAAAAAAAAACGAATCAAATAGCTGATAAAGCTGAATCATGGCAAGCAGAGGCCAGATCTTCGCATGCTATCTGAAAGACACAGGTTGCGTGAATCATAATTGCTAAGCAAAATATGTTATATAATATTCAAGCATCTGAGAACGACATAAAAATTTGACTTCTTTCGTGCGGCATAAAGAGCCTGCAGCTTTTCCATCACCAAGTAAAATGGGGTGGAAACAGGAGACACCCTTAGGGGGAGAATGATTCACCAAGAGACGTGTTTGAAACTCTAACAGACGCTACAGTTAGTTAAGAGAAAATGGTTTGCATACTTCCTCTAGGGGAATATAGAGATAATCCAATTATGAGGATGGATGGGTCTGTGTGGAAAGCGCATCTGAAGTCGCCGGGAACAATAATAACAAGCTTAAAACAAGCAAGAGTTGGAGCTACTGGGGCAGTTAATGGAAACTGGTTAATCAGGTAACCAGAGAGTATTGGCTGTTGAAAGATAAAGAAAGAGGAAGATTTATCAGAAATGCAGCGGTGAATAGTAAGTGAAGTGTTATCACGGAACTGACCATTCCCTCGCATTGAACTCCCCGCAAGTGGAAAGAAACGCACCGGCTAATTCCATTAACGTGTCTGCTAGAGAAACCTTTCCTCGTCGCCTGTATCTAAACTCCTATATTAGATTACCTCGCTAGCGACGATGACATCCCTGGAGCTCCAGAACTAAGAGATAGGAGTTTCATCAATCACAATTCCCTTCTAGGATGGTAGGACACTGTGGACAGAAAGCAGCACAGTTGAAGCTTGGCAAACGTTGTGCTCGGCCTAGACTAGACTGGACTGAGTGCAACAAATTATATTTATTTCCGCATCAGAGAGCGGCTATTCTTAGCCTGGAGTCTGATGTTTCTGCTGCGCTGTGTCGTGAACTCACGGACGTGATTCTCGTACTTCGAGCTGGGGGCGTTAGTGAAACTGAGATGAAACCTGATGGTGTGCATTACGGTTTTTCTTCGCAAAGCGCACGCATGTGTGTATGTGTGTGAGAGAGAGTGAGAGGGAGAGAGAGAACAAGAGAGAGAGAGAGAGAGAGAGAGAGAGAGAGAGAGCAAGAGCTAGAAAAAAGAGGGTGAAACGTCAGACAGATAGACAAAGAAAGAAAGAAAGAAAGAGAGAGAGAACAACACAGATATACAAATTTCAAGGCAGGAAGAGAGAGAGAGAGAGAGAGTGTGTGTGTGTGAAAGAGACACACAAAGAGGGACGTGCATACAGACAAAGAAAAAGAGACACAGGCAGACATAGAAAAGCACCACAGATAGGAAACAGAGAGAGAGAGAGAGAGAGAGAGAGAGAGAGAGAGAGAGAGAGAGAGAGAGAGAGAGACAGACAGACAGACAGAAAAACAGACGGAGAAGAGACATACAAAAAGAAAGAGAGGGGAAGAGGGAGAGATTTACTAGAGCGACAGAGAAGTGGAAAAGCAAGCATAGATTTGGTAAAAAGATAGATAAAGGTAGATCAATTCTGAGGCAAATACATAGAGAGATAAGTAGTTTGTGTATGTCTGTTTGCGCGTGTGTGTGTATATATATATATATATATATATATATATATATATATATATATATATATATATATATATA